TGGTTTGAACTTTACTCGATATCCAGCAGTACTTGAAGGTTATTGTGATGCAAATTGGATATCGAATACTAAAGATTCAAAATCCACAAGTGGATATGTCTTTACTCTAGAAGGCGCTGCTGTTTCTTGGAAATCCACGAAACAAACTTGCATCGCACGATCCACAATGGAATCTGAGTTCATTGCTTTAGACAAAGCAGGTGAAGAAGCAGAATGGCTTCGTCACTTCTTAGAAGACATTCCAATGTGGCCAAAATCTGTGCCAGCTATTTGCATTCATTGTGATAGTCAATCTGCAATAGGTAGGGTACAGAATCATTTGTATAATGGTAAGTCACGACATATTCGTCGTCGACATAATACTGTAAAGCAATTGTTGTCAAACGGAATAATCTCAATAGATTATATAAAATCTAAGGAGAATATTGCGGATCCGTTAACGAAAGGTTTGACAAAAAAGTTAGTGTATAGTTCATCAAAGGGGATGGGATTAAAGCCTATTACATAAGAGTCGTCATAATGGTAACCTTACTTATATGACTAGAGATCCCAAAAACTATGTTTAAAGGGACAACTAAGTTATGTATGGCTCGCCAGAAATCACCAAGGGATTAAAAATTCCCTACCCATTCCTATGGTGAGAGTGATATCTGCAACATATGTTGTATGCAGGGGTATAAGGATAAGCTTTGTTTTTAATGATTGCTTATATCTTGATTGAGGCATAAATCAAGACGAGTATAAGGAGATACTCACAATAAGAATCACCTATATGAGTGTTGAACTGGGGCTGGTTCTATGAAAATGAAAAGGCTAAATTCTCTAGAAACACTTATGAAAACCAGGCGCGTTCAAGGCCAAAATGAACAAAACAGTGAGAACCACGATGTGTTAGAAGATATTTTATGTGAAATCTATTATCTTGGCTTACAAAAACGGATGAACAATTCAAGGCGTCGCGTCCATAGGTTAGCCAGTAAGTCCGATAGGTTATCACTAGGGAAGGTTCAAGGCCGAAAATTACCTATCCTGATGCAAGATATTTTCGACTTATACTCTTTCGATAAATCTACATATTGTTGCATTTCCGTTGTCATCAAATTCCATTCATGTGGGGGATTGTTGGAAATGGTTATAAATTCTGGGTAAAATCAGAATTTTATCCTAAGTTCGGTCGATTTTTTAGGTGGGCCCGTGGGTCGATTTTCACGGGTCAAAGTAGTAACGCGTTCTATGCCGCGTTGTGATTCGCGTGGTATATTTGGTTGCTCAAAACCATTACCGAGTGAATGGGAAATTGAAGCCAAAGTGTGCTCCATGGAAATGGAGTTTTGGTGGAAATTCCTAAGGTTGTAAAATGCTGTCCCCATTGATTGGTGGGAGGTTTGTTGAAATGGGTCTATAAAGGCTATGAGGTTGGTACTTGGGGTGTGCCCCAAGGGGTACCCAAGTGTTTTAGAGGGAGAGGTTATGGGCAAAATGGGCTAGACCCATTGGACCCAAAAATCACCACACGCGCGCGCGCGCCGCCGCCGCCGTCCGTCTGGACAGGCTGGGCTGGGCCTGGGCTTGGGCGCGGGTGCGTGGTGTGAGGTTGGGTTGGGCTTGTTCGGCCCAATACTAATCTTTTTGGGCCAAAAACATTTGAATTTTATTTTATTTTTTGGTAAAATAAAATTCATAATTCAAAATTAAACTGGTTTGGTTTTACTGTACATCCAAACAGGGACCTTCCCGAAATAAACCAGTTTGGTATTATTGCACACCCAAACAGGGCCCTTCCCGTTTTTTTATCTGTTTGAAATATAACCCAACAGATTCAAATCTGTTTGAATTCAAAACCAACAGGTTTCATACCTGTTCAATTCAAAACCAATAGCCACCTTTACATCTATAAATAGACTAGCCTCCCATTTGGATTTCACTCCAATTTTCGTACTCCATTCTTTGCTATAAATCTCTACATTTTGCTGCATTTATTTTCTGAAAGAAATAATGTAAACACTTAGTGTGTTCGTAAGGCAAACAATTTGTAGTGCTGCTATTGTTTGTAGTAGATCATTTCATCCTGGGAGATAGACGTCCAATTTCTGAAAGCACCGTAGAGAGAACGAATCTGTCTTAAGGACATAGTGTCAAACACTGGACTTGATCAGATTATAAATCGAAGAAATTAAATTAAGTAAGTTATTTAATTTATTTTCAGTGTTTTATTATTTATTTAAATCAGATTTTAATTTTATTTTTGTAACAAAATAAAATCTGTTTTTATTTATTTATTTTTATTTTTTATTTCGAATTTGATTTTTGTAATCAAACAAATTCTCTCATTTCCTTTATTTCTTTATATTCTGGTTATTGTTTAATACACAACAGAATTTAATTAATTTAAATACAGTGAAAATTGTCCTACAATTATTCCAAAGGATAACTATATAAACCATGGGCCAAGTGCTCTATCCATCCATTATAAGATGAGTTACACTCACCATACTTCCTCTCCTTTTTCTTCTTGTTTTTTTATATCACTGTTATGTAATTTCTCCCATAAATATACTCTTGAAGCCAAATTTATACAATAATAAATAATAATAAAAAAGTTGGTGGTCTATCCATTACAAGAAAAAGTACCTTTGGCTTTTAATCGCCAAGAGTCTATTTTTAGTCGCCGAAAGTCGAGTCTTTACTTTCAGCGACTAATTTTTATAGTCCCCCGTTTGGTCGCGTATATATGGTCGCCAGAGGTATTGGCGACTAAAATTTTTTTAGTCGGCAAAAAATAGCTCTTTAGCGACCAACGATTTAGTCGCCAATAGTGATTTATACTTTTTAAAATCACATTTAGCGACTAATCTTTTAGTCGCCAATAGTCCATGAATCGCCGACTTAACCGTTTAGTTGCCCAAAATAAACACTTTTTAGTCGCCAAAGATGCTTCTGTGAAAAAAAAAAAAAAAACCTTTTTTGCTTTTTCTGAGATTCGAATCACCAACATCTCCCGCATTCTAAACCTTTAGCAACACACTCTCTTCACTATGCCACTACAACACCACATGAATATATATGCAACATATATTATTTATATACTATATTGACCCGTATTAATATCTAGCTTCATATATAAAAATAATTATTTTTATTCAATATAATTTATGTAAAAAATAAATTATTTACTAAAAAAAAAAATTAGATCACTTTTGGCGACTAAATCTATCTTTTAGTCGCCAAATGTATAGTTTTGGCTACTAATTATATTTTAGTCGCTAAAAAAATTCATTCTCGCCGAAAAACCTCCACTTTTGGTGACTAAACTGAAATTTAGTTGCCAAAACCTCTACTTTGGGCGACTAAACTGCATTTTAGTCGGCAATTCTTGACTTTTAGCTACTAAATTTTTTTTAGTAGCCAAAAATCTTCACTTTTGGCTACGAAATTGATTTTTGTCAGTAAAACACGTATAATCCGCGACCAAACTATTTTTTAGTCTCCAAAACCTATACTTTTGGCTACTAAATGTTTTTAGTCGCCAAAAACCTTCTCTTTTGGCTACTAAATTTTTTTTAGTCGCTAAAACCCCTGTATTCGGCGACTAAAATGAGTTTTAGTCGCTAAAAACCCTACATTTGGCTACTAAACTGTTTTAGTCGCGACTAATTCCATTTTAGTCGCCAATTCTACTACTTTCAGCGACGAAAAATCCATTTTTAGTCGCGAAATCTGCTTTTTCTTGTAGTGATCTTTTTTGTACAGTATAATTTATAAATCATTATAAAAAATGCTATAAATCCATGCTTATCAACTCATAATTTACCTAAATATATTTGTGTAGTGAAAATTAAATCGATGAAGTGTGAGATCCATGAATAAAATAATTTTGAACCATTAATTTCTTTTTTCTGAATAAATTTTAGATTCATAAATATGAATTTATAATGTTTCGAAGTGAATATTAAGAGTATTATTCAAATATAAAAGGGTGAATTTCAACAAAAAAAAAAAAGAAAATCTATAGGTTTCACGCGTTTTTTCATTTTAAATTTCAACGTTTTAATTTCGACAAATTTAATCTTAGACTTTCATCTGTATTTCAATTTGTCTCCTTCATCCATCTTCGTCTGTGTAAGGTAACAGAGGAAGTTTAAAATGAAAAACACGTGAAACCTTAAAGTTTATTTTGTAATTAATTCTTTTTTATTATAGTACTTTTAATTTAAAAAATAATTAATTACACAAAAAAATTTAAAAGTATTTTTTATTTTAAACTCCCTTCATTTTACACAGAAAGAAATGGACGAAGTAGATAAATTAAAACACAGATAAAACTTTATTAAAATTAAAACACTGAGATTTAAAGTGTAAAACATCTGAAATTTTAAAAAAAAAAATTCAATAATTAACCCAATCTTTAAAAAAGAAAAAGAAAAAGAAAAAGAAAAATAAAAAGGAGTATTATTCCGGTATGAGAATGGGCATCACATCACACCAACTCCGGACATGGGCTTTTTCGACTCACGGTCTTGTTGCTAACGTTTATAATATGCCCTAATCAACAGCTCTCTCTCTGTCTCTCTCCAGCGAATTGGAGGGAAGAGAAAGGTTGAGATTCACCCACCCACGTCTCTCTCTCTCTCTCTCTCTCTCTGTTATATATCTGAGTGAAATTCAGTCTCGACCAACCACTACTGTAGTTTGTCGCATCCGACTTCTCTCTCATCAATCTTTTACTCCCTCCGTCTCAAAATATTGGTCCCTTTTGGGAAATCCAACTTTTTTTGGTAGTACACTTATTGCATTTGAAAAAAGTTGGTTTTCCAAAATTACCCTTTTGATAGTACATTTTTTGGGAATATCAATGTCAAATTGTACTTTTTAAATTGTTTATTAATTTAAAAGAAGGGCAAAGTAGGAAATTTACATTATTTTTGTACTTGATTTATAAAGAGGGACTAATATTTTGGGACAATGAAAAATAGAATAAGGGACTAATATTTTGGGACGGAGGGAGTATGTATATTTGTGTTTGTTGTCCTTACATTTCACTTCTACAAACCCCATTTGCATCCAAGTCCTCTCTTTTCTGCTCTGGGTTTCCATCACAATGACACACTGATTCAATATCTGGTAATTCAAAACTCGATCTTCAAATCCCTCTTTTCTCTCATTTCTTATATCTTTATATATATATATATATATGGTTTAATTTGTGTTGTCATTCTCAGATTGCATCTTATAAAGAGGGGGTTCGGTTCGATCTTGTTCTTTTCCTTGCAATTTCAATCCGGGTCAAGAAAAATCGGCTACGGTAATAGCCTTCTTGTTCTGATTGATGGAACGTGATTTAGATTTTATTTATTGCTGTGGATATGGGTTTTTCATTATTTGATTTATTTTGCTGGCTCTGTTATGCTATTTGTTTATTTTCCACTTGTGTTCCGCAAGTTTGGTCATAAAAGAGAGATCTTCATTTTACAACTCCGCCCAATGTTTAGTGTCTTGTATGAAATAAAATGAACTTGAGATTTCAATGACATTGTTTGATTTTGCTACTTTGGAATCTGATTTTCATAATTTTGCTTATGTTTGGTGTTTCATGGAATGAAATGGACTATAATTGCGTACAATTTTTTTGAAATTACAAATTGAAGCAGCTTCTCTTTATTTTTGTTTTCCGTCTGTCTTCTGATTCCAAATGAACAACTGTATAGTCCTTTTCCTACTGCTTTTGAAATCTTAAAGAGCCTTCTGCTTTTGTGACAACTATTCTAGAGTCTTGTTACTGTAATTCATGTTCTTCACCTTAGAGTTGATTTGATTCCATTAGATTCACTTCCATTAAAGCACAATTTAATTTCTTAATAACACAAAAAAGAAAAAGGAATTTTTTTTTTTAAAAAAAGAAAAGAAATTAAACGCCAAATGCTAGATGGATCCTCAAAATAAATCTAGAAAGCACTAGCCATGTGCGCCACTGGAGCTAGAGCACAAGGGAGATTGCCTCATCTCATATGGTTCGAATGATCAATTGGGTTGAAACTTCTACTGAAAATAATTTTTCGGTGTCCCAAGCAGATAGTGCCAATTGGATGAGGATTGATCATCTTGCATCTTGTCAACAAGCCCTTTCATATGCCACTACATCATCCACTTAGCCATATTTTCTCTCATTTCATATTATTGGTTAATTAATAGGCCTTGGATGTGCTATTCTTTGAAATATACCTCAAAGAGAGAACAATTAACTTTTCTTTTTCTTTTTCTTTTTTTAGAAAATATATACTTTAGAAGTACTCTGAATTGAGATATGAGTTTCCTTAATGTGAGTGTAACTTTAGGTAAGCTGAATGTTGAATCGGTTTAAATAAAATCTTCGTGAGAAAGCATAGTGGGGAGTGGGGAGTTAACTCCCCACTATGCCTTGTCTATAGTCTGATTAAATTTATGTCCCGCAGTTCATACTAATTAATATTGCTATTATATTGTTAACTCCTCACTATGCTTTGGCTTGAAAGGTCCAATTCCATGTTTTCAAATCGCAGTATAGGTCGTTGTAACATATGTAATCATCGTGTAATAGTATTAGGAGTATTGGCCAAAGAGTAATGAGAATTGGAAACTGAGCCCATGAATTTTTGTAAAGCAATAGCAAACACCTAAAATCTCATTGATACACATGTTTTCAAATTGAAAGCTGACTCTCGTGAAATCAGTTGAATTTGGTAAATGAGAGCATCCTTATAATTTATTACAAAATTTACAAGCGTTATGGAGCATCAAATCTAAAGAAGAAACTTCTTTTATCCTTCACTTCATGTTTTGCTTTCTCTGATCTTTTTTATGGGCATACGTTTCGAACTTAGCTAAACAGCCTCAAGCTAAATCATTTTCTCTTTTCTCTAATATGTGAACATCCTTTTAGCCCATTGATTATAATTTATTAACCTAAGACTTCTGGCATGCTTTTTAATATTTTCTTTAATCCTTACAAGCATCATTCCATCTTTGTCTCTTTTCAATTGAAAATATAGAAGTGAAAATATCAGCACTAATATAATCACATAAAAAGGTTTACTCTTTAATATCAGCACTGATATTTTCTCTTCTAATTTTTCCCAGTTGTTTATTTCTTTAATTTTAACCTTTGACTCTTTAGTGTTTTACCATTATTAAAGAGTAAACCTTTTTATGTGATTATGGATGATCTTGTATTTAAATTCTTTTACCTGATTATGAATTTACCACAACTTGTTTTTGTCATTATTTATGTGATTATTGTTGATAAAAATGTCAGTACGCGTAAAATACCCTTAAATTTATTTTAAGTAAATTTCTATAATTTTATATATCTTTTACTTAAGCTTATTTGTTATCTGTTGTTTTATTTACGCATCTTAATTAATTTTCAATATATTTGATACATTCCAGTTTTGCATCTTGCGTTACTAGGGATAGAACATCTAGCCTTCTTTTCAAAATACTATTTTTACTTAAGGACGAGTTATCATAGGTGACTTGTCGTATGTGAATAAGATAGATGGTCTATTGGAGATTCGGAGCTAATTCAGTTGTGGTTTTCCTAGATTGTGCCCAAGGGTTGTAGTGGGTGTCATGTAGACATCTGTTGGTTATTGAAGTGGTTTTGCTTGGAACATGGACTACTGGCGTTTGCTTAGCCTTATATTAGGTCCATCCTACAATCAGCTTTCTGTGGTGCTGTGAGGGAATTTGATTATTTGTTATTTTTATTGAAACAAAATTTGTGTTGCTGACCAAGTAGTCGGGACATAGTTGGATCAACTATTGTTATTGCCTCTTGGACTTGCTTTTTTTCCCCTGCAAGAGTGTTATGTTTTATCCTGGAAATATATGTCCTTTCTTAAGCAATTCATCCTTTTTATTTGGGTGGAGGGTTCCTCTCTAGCACAAGGATAGCCCTCAAGGAATATATTGTTTTTCTGATTACGAAGCCTGGAACACAGAGGTTTCCTATTGCAGCCCTGTTTTCTAGATTGCTTAATTTGAACAACACAAGTTATGTTACTTGGATTGGGGTATTGGTGTCCGGTGCGGGTATTTGTCTGTTTATTTTACTTTTTAGGATAAAATGGTTTTTACAAGGTGTCATGGAGCATTGCATAATATGAAGTTTTATGCATAATTTTATAGTAAATTTAAAGAAATGTTAATAAATTCTAAAATCCATTTCATTGTCAGTAGCGACAGGTCTTTACTAAATATTTTTTTCTGGATGAATGTCCAACTACACGTCTGACCCTTAGTTAAGTGTCGAATGCCCAATATGGATACTTTTTACATTTAGAAGAGTCCATGATACATAGCTAAATTTAATGACTTTTCCTTTAACCATTTGAATTAATCATTTGATTCCAAATTATTTATTATTATATTTTTTAAGCTGAATCGTTTTTGATATATGAAATTTGCAGATGGGTGACGTAGCCAAGGACCTAGTTGCTGGGACTGTTGGTGGGGCAGCGCAGTTGATTGTTGGACACCCCTTTGATACGATCAAGGTCAAACTCCAAAGCCAACCCACACCACTCCCAGGTCAACCTCTGAAATACTCGGGTGCTATGGATGCTGTCAGAAAAACGATAGCATCAGAAGGCCCAAGTGGTCTGTACAAAGGTATGGGGGCACCTCTTGCCACTGTGGCAGCCTTTAATGCTCTCCTATTTACAGTTAGAGGACAAATGGAAGCTTTATTGAGATCTGAACCTGGTGCGCCTCTGACCGTCAATCAGCAGATAATTGCTGGGGCTGGGGCTGGAGTTGCCGTCTCCTTTTTGGCTTGCCCCACTGAATTGATCAAGTGCAGGTCAGTTTAATGGTGCTCTGCAATTTTCATTTTTTATTTTTTTTCATTTTGGAAAATTCTGACAATACAGAAATCCTTTACAGAATGCCTATAAAATGTAGTGAGTTTCTGTGATAGGTCTTTATTTGATTTTTTTGGGTGATATGATAGAACATAAATCAGCCCACCATTTTGTATGAAAAATCTGAAAAGTTGTCTGTATAGCATTACTCTCTCCCTCTTCCCTCTTTTTTTTCCACCTACTTTTTTCTTTGGCACTAAAACCTAGTTTTCCCATGTTTTATTGAGTCAGACTTGGACCCTTGCTTTGCCATCAAGCCTATTCAACCTGATTGTGTCTAGTATAATCATCTTGTAACCTAAAATCCTGGTTATGAGTAATTTCTTAACCATTTTAAAAGTTTACAAATGTTTGAGGGTTACCAAAAAACACTAATACCCTAATGATTTAGGTTATGAAATGCATGTTCGGAAATTTGGCACATTTAGTGATTCAAAGTGAATCCAAATTTTATTATCTTAAACGTTTCTTTACGAGGAAAATGTGAAATTTAATGAACTAAAAATCTAGGGAGACTGGAGTTTTGGAAGGACAGAATGTATGTTAAAAAAAAAATACCTTAATACTCCTCCTAGAAATGTGGTTTTACATGGTCAAATTCAAAAGACATATACACTATATTGGATGTCTAATCGTTAAAAGAACATTACAAAAGAAACACCTTAAATTCCATTAGTGTAATCTAAACAAAGTCTATGCCTATCCTATTTAGAGCATATAGCGTATCATGCTCACTTTTCCGTTCCATGTACCAGAGTGATTTGCATTTCATGTAACATAGTTTCAGATTACCTGTAAAATGACAATTTGTGTTTCTTTCCCTCACTTGAAAAGTGCTTTTGAATTTCCCTTGTTTTTCGAATTTCCCTTGTTGATGTCACTATCTTCAGTGATTTCCAAATTGAAAGTTTCTATGCCATTTTATTCAAGCATTTTTTATTAGGCGCTATGCTATTATGAGATGGAGACCTTTAAAGAATTACTCATGAACTGCTCAGGATCTAACTGTGAAACAGGTTGCAAGCACAGAGTGCTCTAGCAGATTCTGGTTCAGCTGCCGTGGCAGTGAAGTATGCAGGACCAATGGACGTGGCAAGGCATGTTCTCCGATCAGAAGGCGGTATGAGAGGTCTCTTCAAGGGCTTAATTCCCACTATGGCACGAGAAGTTCCTGGAAATGCTGCAATGTTTGGCGTCTACGAAGCCCTGAAGCAGTACCTTGCGGGAGGGCAAGACACATCCAAGTTGGGAAGAGGTTCTTTGATTATAGCAGGAGGCTTGGCTGGAGCTTCCTTCTGGGTTTCTGTCTACCCAACTGATGTTGTCAAGAGCGTAATTCAAGTTGATGATCACAAAAATCCCAAGTTTTCTGGCTCGATTGATGCTTTTAGAAAGATTGTGGCCTCGGAGGGAGTGAAAGGCTTGTACAAGGGTTTTGGACCTGCCATGGCTCGAAGTGTTCCAGCAAATGCAGCATGCTTCTTGGCATATGAAGTAACAAGATCTAGTTTGGGATGACAAAATATTTTGAATGAAATTCTATTTTTTCGAATATGTTAAATCATGTTCGGTTAAGATTTCTGCACAATTCATTTTTGGAGCCAGAAGAAAGTTTCATTGACAAAATAACGTACTTTAAAGTTTCATTTTCACGTTAATTATGCCTTTTGACATGTAATGCACGCTCAAGCTGGCGAGTTATTTCAAAATAGGAACAAAAATGGAAGAAGATTGTGCATCAGAAATCTGTTTTGGGTGATCTAATTCATTTTTGAGCTTGTTTTTACAGGTAATTTGTAGTAGACTGCCAATACATTTGGCTGCTGCTTTGTTGCATTTGAGTCCCATTTCTCAAAGCTAATAAAGCATGGTGGACCTTCATTTTTTTTTTTTTGACCTTTACACAGCTGAGTTTTTAAATGTCCAAACTTGTTTATTAAAAATTAGTCGAGTTCGAGCCAGGTAATTTGTAGTAGACTGCCAATACATTTGGCTGCTGCTTTGTTGCATTTGAGTCCCATTTCTCAAAGCTAATAAAGCATGGTGGACCTTCATTTTTTTTTTTTTAGACCTTTACACATAGGGCTGCAAATGAGCCGAGCTAAGCTGAGTTTTTAAATGTCCAAACTTGTTTATTAAAAATTAGTCAAGTTCGAGCTTGAGCCGAGCTCCAGTCAAGCTTCAAAAATCTAGCTCGAGTTGGGCTCGTCAAATATTTGTTGAACTCGAGGCTTAAGCTCGCTCGATTACGTAAACGAGCCGAGTTCGAGCTCGAGCTTGAAAAGAAAATAAATTTAAATTAATTTATTTATTAAGATTAAAAAAAATAAAAAATTATGAGTAAAATTTATAATATTACTAATATTAATAATAAATCTCATCAATCAAATATGAAGATTTACACAAACACCAAACATAAATAAAAAATAAAATAGATTATTGCAAATTTATTTAATATATTATTAAAAATAAATATTAATTAATTTATTTTTATATTCATGAGTCTTATTGAGTCAAGCTTAGGGTTATTGAAGTTTGGCTCAATTAATAAACAAGGTTAAAAATTGAGTTCGAACTCGTTCATTTAGTAAACGAATCGAATTTAAACGAACTTTAAACGAACCGCGTTTGAATTGTTCATAAACAGCTCGATTCATTTGCAGTCCTATTCATACACTAAAATCGCTTTCAACCCTCATATTTTGACTTCCAGTAATAGTCTCTCACATAATTTCTTTAGACCTTTCGGTAATAGTCCCACCTTTTTACTTGCAACCTTCATAATTTTTTTTGGACCTTCACACACTAAAATTGCTTCTCACCCTTCTTTTTTTGAACACACCATATTATCAACTCTATCCTCCCACCCCTACAACACCATTCTACCCTTCCCCATTTTGACCCCCTTCGTGCACCGTAATCCCTCACAAAATTTTGATCCTTGAAAGAGAAAATAGATCTAGGGTTCTCAGGTTTAGAGTATAATGAAGGAGGAGGAGAAGGAGGATAGAGAAGGTGTGAATAGGAGAGAAAGGATGGGGGTGTTAAGAGGGAATGGGAAGGGCAAGCGAGGCAATAACTCTGTATTATTTACTTTATAACAAAAAAAATGAAATAATGGAAGAAAGCACAAAAAAAATTTGTGTTACAAAAAAATATTAAGTACAACGGTGACATCTTACATAGTCTTACAAACTAATGTGTCAACTGAAATTAGATATACACCCATTATCTTTCTATAATCCGAGTTGGTCCAATTTGAAGAGAATGACGTAATTAAAATTGGACTTAAAATATAAGGAGTTAATTATTCAAATTGAAACAGTAAGGATCAAATTAAAATTTAATTTACTCATCATTTTTTTAAATATAAAATTCAGATCTTCATTATTTAGCTAAATTTTCTCAAGATTCAAAATGGATTGCCATAAAAAAAACAAAAAAAGAAAAAAAAAAGAAGGGTTTGTATGGTATACTGTGAAAAAGAATTTGTGACCCCCTTCTTTAGCCACCCTCTTTCTACCATCGCCATCTCGTCGCTAATATTTTCTTGACAAATGGATAAAATTATGGATTGGTTGGGAATGTTCTAAAAAAGTGTACTTTTTGACTTATTGACTTATATGAGTTGGGTTTGGGTTGGGTTTGATATGATGTGTTAGAGAGGTGATGTGATTTAAATAAGATAATGTGACTTAAATAGAATAATGACTCTTTAACTTTTTGTATTATTTAGTTTAGAATAAAGGTTGAGACCCCCTTTGGGGGTCACCTTTAGTTTTGATTGGTCAATTTTTCCTTTTTTTTTTTTTTTTTTTGGTTCTCACTCAATCCTCAACCTCCATGTGTGTGAGGGGATTGTGGGAGTAAGTGTTTTAAGGGGGTCTAAATCAATGTCCTTTAGTTTATGCCAAAATAACCCTATTTCTGCTGGAAACTTTCCGTCTCAAAAAAAAATATATTTTTTAAGGTTGTGATGGTGTGCTTCTACAAGCTACCATGTGACCTTCAATTTATGCACATGAAACTAAAATTTAAGCCAAATAACTATGAGAGCATGTGAGTTTAACTAGAGAAGAAGATAAGCAGAGAGTCGTTGTTTCAATGACATAATTAAACAAAATAAAATACAATAAAGTAGATCATCAATATTGAGAGTCCTCCTCTAATTGTATTCCACAATTTGCAACTGTTTTCTCATATGTTAAAATGGTGAAGCCAACTATTAATGGAAAAAAATAATAATAAAATTTTACAATAATTTTTCTTGAGATTTAAAAAAAAAAAATACATCAAGACTTACACAAAATGATAGTCATATTTGTTACATTCATGTATTTATACATCATCTGTATTAATTTTGATCGATTTGATCTGACTAAAAGTGATATCAATATAATTACATTAAATTTATAAAATTTATTGTATTTTTAGAATTTATTCATAAATAATTGAAACTTTAAGCCGATGGCTTGAAAACAAATAGGCTTGTGCTTCCCAATTTGAGAGGAATCTTTTGGCCAACATCTTATGCTTTAATATAAAATGTTATAAGATTAGACTCCTTAAATGTGGCCAACATCTTATGCTTTAATATAAGATATTATAAGATTAGACTCCTTAATTTAATAATAAGCACAATATAAATTGAGCATGATGTCTCATCAATGGGACATGGTCCAAACAATTTGCACCAATCCAACATTCTCTTTTCACCACTTTCTAAACAAATATATAAAGCCAAAAAAAAAAAAAAGAAAGAAAGAAAGAAAGAAAGGTATGGACAAGAATTGAAAACCCCATCAAAGATAAACTCTTAAATATACAAAGTCATGGATATGGTGGCATCCAAAAGGATCAAGACTTTGTTGGAGGATTCATGTCCATGTGTGTATGCCTATATTATCATATAAAAATTGAGGACTTAATGCAACTCTCTATTGTTGAATTTATTATCTAAGAGATCCTGTGATAATAAGTGGTGTTTTTATATACATATATATATAAAGTCATTAATTGTTAGTTTTTAGTGATAGTTTATGAAAAATTAAAAAATCTCCAAAATATTAATTTGTAATTATGTATCAATTTTAACAGTAAATAACAATCTCAATCAAACAATCAAAGATAAATCGACAAAACGATTTAACGTGGAAAAATCACAAATTGAACGTTTCCAATTGTGATAAAAAAAAATCTCGAGCCAAAACTACAAAACAATCCACTAAGAAAATAAAAAAAAAGGAATTACACAAGTGTACTCTCAATTATCTAGCGAATCCATACCCAAATTGAACTGACCCCAATATGTCTCTTCCACCACCGTCTTCACCTCAGAATTATCTTATCCAACTTTGAATCCACAACGCTTATGTCGAATCTATGACGACGAGCCACTCCGAAATTTACCAAAACTTCAGGCCCAAGTTCCCCGAAATCTATTAAAGAATAACTTTCTCTTTTGTGAATAAAAGGAAATAAACAAACCCCTTAATGATGCTGATATAAAGTTCATAAATCCATTAATTACTCTTAAATCATCAAGGAAATAATCCATACCCAAATTGAACTGACCCCAATATGTCTCTTCCACCACCGTCTTCACCTCAGAATTATCTTATCCAACTTTGAATCCACAACGCTTATGTCGAATCTATGACGACGAGCCACTCCGAAATTTATCAAAACTTCAGGCCCAAGTTCCCCGAAATCTATTAAAGAATAACTTTCTCTTTTGTGAATAAAAGGAAATAAACAAACCCCTTAATGATGTTGATATAAAGTTCATAAATCCATTAATTACTCTTAAATCATCAAGGAAATATTCATAAATCACCCTCTAATATAAAACACTTTGTTTTTTTCTTCCTCTCTGAAAATTTGGACAACTCGAAACCTAAAAACAACGAACATCACACTTTATAGAAAACATGATTGCGTAAACTGCACGAATGGTGTGACTAAAGGCGGTGCGAAACATATATGCTGACCGCTCTAGCACAACTTTCACCGCTCGAGCGGTAAAACTTTCTTTCAAGAAATTCAGACGCTTTGCAAAAGTACTGGATGATTATTTTCTTCTCTCAAGCGTACAAATGACCGCTTGAGCGATCAAATTACTTCGACTGTATTTTTACTTTTTACTTAGTCAGCTCGATCCCCGTACTTAGTTAGCGAAGTGGTAAACATGACAGGATTAAGATTACAAACATTTCTGCATAGGCACAATTTGGGTTAGATTTGCATCTAAATACTCATATCCTCACTGAAATATAAGAGCAAATAAAATTATAACTGAATGGAATTTTGTCAAATGAAATTACCAATTACAAAAACCTAACAGTTTACAAATTTCATTACATAAAAACGTCGCTAATTGTCAATTTGTAGGGACAAATTCAAAAATGTCGCGAGTTGTTAGTTTTTAGCAGCAAATTTAGAAAAAAAAAGGTTGATTGTCAGTTTTTATCGATGATTCTCTTAGGACCAACTTTCAACGATCAACTAATAGAATTTAATGAGAATCAAATCCAACTACTAGGACTTGTTGATAATTTATCTTAAAATCTATCATGTTGTTTGTGTAAATACTCTTCTATTATGTTTTTTCACTTCTTAAAAAATACTCATGGTAATTTAAAAATTACTAATATGAGAAAGCTTATTCAAATATTTAAAATTTTATGGATGATTTTTATTCATCTTTTTATTGTTAAACTCTATATATTTAGACACATATCACATGTG